GTACAATCTGCCTCACTGTATGTATGTGATCCACGGTACCATATCCCCCTCGGAACCCGGCCTGCTCAGGCTGTCCCATAGTTATAATAAATGTAACTTCTACTTTTCCCCAGTCGATGTTGTGAGTCTCTTGTCATAGGGAGAGTGCCTATTGCCATTATTACAGTTTAAAGATCACCAAATAATTTAATTTTTCATATTTCTCGATAAATATCGTATATTAAAAGTATATACCGTACTTATACATTCAGGGGAACCTAAAATACTTCTTTTTTTTTAATTAAACGGAAAACATTACTTTTACTTACTCTTGTGACGTTTTCTCGTAAAGTTCTGTTTTTATGTAGTGTCCCCAATCCTAAGCTATGAATTGACACATACAAGGTAGTCTCATTAACAAATTAACTCAATTTAGTTATTATTATGGTTGACTAGATGAAGCTGCCCGCGACTTCATCCGCGTGGTACGAGTATGTTGATAAAAAGTAGGATATGTCCTATTCCGGTGTGTGCCCTATGCCTGTGCCAAATATCATCTAGATCCGTCCAATCATTTTTGCGTGGTTGAGTAGCAAACATCCAAACATCGCAACTTTCTCATTATAAATGCGAAAGATATATTAGTAAGTATATGTTGTATGTAAGTATAGTTATATACATTCAGTCAACAAAGTATCGGGAATGAATGTTTTTTATGGTTCCAAATTAGATTGGCATAACTGTTTTCCATTTTGGCGCGGAATTTGAGTTGCATCTGTTATTTATATTAAAAACAGTGCTGTTTTTAGTTTGATTTCATAATGGACAAAAACATCGAACAAAGAGTTTGTCTTAAATTTTGCATCGCCAATGAAATTTCGTGTTCGGAGGCACTCAAAATGTTACAGAAAGCTTACGGTGAATCGACTTTATCAAAAACAAGCGGTCGAGATGTGATGGAAGATTTGCCTCGTTCTGGTAGGCCATCAACGTCTGCAACTGAAGTTAACATCGCAAAAGTGAAGGAAATAGTGACTGAAAATCCTCATTCAAGTTTGGGAGAGATGGCCGCCGAACTTTCTGTATCTCACGAGTCGATCCGTACCATTTTAACAAATAATTTGGGTATGAAACGTGTTGCCGCTCGGCTAGTCCCAAAAGACCTGAATTTTCTTCAAAAACTAAATCGCATGAAAGTCGCTGAGGACATGCTAGAACGAGTCAATACCGACCCAACATTCATGAAACGCATTGTTACTGGTGACGAGACGTGGGTTTACGAGTTTGACATGCAAACTAGTCAACAAGCTTCGGAATGGCGCCTTCCAACTGAACCAAAACCGAAAAAAACCACGTGAAAGTCGATCAATAGTCAAAGTCATGTTGACTGTTTTTTTTGACTATCGCGGTGTTGTGCACTCAGAATTCTTGCCCGAAGGTCAAACGGTAAATAAAGAATATTATTTGAGCGTTATGCGGCGTTTAAGAGAACAAATTCGACGAAAAAGGCCAGATATGTGGAAAGAAAATTCTTGGATTTTGCATCACGATAATGCGCCTCCGCACAAGGCCATCATTGTAAACGATTTTTTGTCCAAACACTCAACAAACACCTTCGAGCAGCCACCATATTCACCAGATATGGCTCCAGCCGACTTCTTTCTTTTTCCCACACTCAAATTACCCCTTCGTGGCACCCGTTTTCAATCGTTAGAAAACATAAAGGAGAATTCGCGGCGAGCACTGATCTCAATTCCGGAAACAGCGTTTAAAAAAGTTTCGATGATTGGATTATTCGTTGGCGTGTATCGTTTCTGAAGGAGAATACTTTGAAGGTGATAAAATAAATTTAGATGAATAACAAACATTTTGTGTATTATTGACTTTTTCCCGGTACTTTCTTGACAGAGTAGTATGTGTAGTAGTATATTAGTAAGATTAAACGGACGGGACTAATGTGCCAATATACATCACGCCAGTTATTTTATCAATCTACTTTACAAAAGGCTTGAAATAACCGGAAGAAAAATTGATTAGCAATTTCACATACAGATAGAATAACACTATTAAAATTATAGCATATGAAATTGTTTAAAACTCTTTACGAATAAAACATTAAAATAATTAATCATTATTACAATACATTTATTTATTCACAATGAATTGGTTTCATTCATTCGTCACAATATAGGCACACAATATCACCAAATATCCGTTTATCCATATCTCCAGACATCCATATATAAACACAACAAAAAATATCTAATTATTTATTTTAAGAATTGATAAACATACAAGTTTATTTAATGATTAAACCTTTCCTACAAACATAAGTCGAAGACTTACCTTACTCAGAATCATTTATTTGTTACTTAACACAAGACCTAAGCAATTGCTTTAGTTCCTAAGCCAAACTTTAAGTAATCATTAAGTCTCTCTGAGTACGGCAGTTAGAAACACAATTTCAGCAAGAAGTTTTAGGTTTCAAACAGGCAAATCTGTATTGTAGTAGCAATCCAAACAATTTGAGAACAAGTTCCTAAAGGTACCATGGACGGAATTGTTCCCAGACATCAACAAAAATAAAATTAAGCAAGATGTAGACCTTTGTAAGATTATATTTTGTTTTCTATAACGACGTTGCCGAAATGTATAGCTCTGTTATAGTTATTTTAAACTTAATCGCCGTAGGGACGATTTTTGCCCATAGTCCACAAAACATAGGTCCATCTACCTCTTAAATTTATAGAATTATTATTTTCGTCTTCATCAATTTTATTGCTCTGTAATAAAGTCTATTTGAACCAGATATTTTCCAGCCAGTAATCTGCCTTTCTCAACCAAACATGTAGAACAATGGCTTCAGATACACAATTATACATAATAATATACGAAATCTTGACACAAGATACATAATGGTACAATCAATGAAATCTTATCATTATATATTATTCTCTATTTAGATAGAACATACATATTCCTAAGTACTCGTGTTAAATAGATTTATTAGGTTTTAATATAATATGATGTCTAAATAAAGACAAAATAATACATCGTCGAAAGTGTTGTTTACCAATAATGGTAGGTCTACCATTATAGAAATAAATATAAAATTGAATTAAAAAAAAAGATGGCCGTCATTAACAAACTTAAATTTTTAGTTTCGATTCTAAATTTAAACTTGAATGTTTATGTATATTTAAACTATATAGCACTCATAGAAATTACGTTTTGAATTCATATTTATTTTGGAATACAGATAATGTGAAGCAGGTTCTGTAAATTAAAAAAGGCATTTCATAAGATATATTATATGTATCGATCAATAATTTAAAGTCATTTTGATAATGTCCATAATACAAAAAGAACAAATACTACTGAAATTTTGATAAAAAAGTATGTAATATACAATGAAAACATTATGAAATACATTTAATATAACTTTATAATAACAAACATGTAAATACATAGAATATAATTTTATGGTAACAAACGTTAGTTGAAAATATTTACAACAATACATAAAACTAAGTTTATAAAATTATTATATACAGCAGTAAACAAATAATTAAACAATAATTTATTTTTGTAAAATGCCAGAAACACAAATGAAAACATAACTTTTACACGTTAAAATTAACAAAAAAATAATGTAAATGAAAATAAAAGTACGACCCTAATATCTAATGACATAGATAAATAATCATTTTATTGAAAACGAACTGATTTCCAAGAAACGGAATCAATATACCTACGTATATTCATGATTAGTGAAAATGTACTGCGAAATTCCCGCTATGACCGTAAGAAAATCCAAAAAAAACAAAGAGACATTTCCTTCGTGTTGTTGGTTTTCAACTGCTCATTAGTATGATTCCCTTTGTGACTGAATAAGTTCACTAGAGTAAGCCGTTTTTTTAAATTAATTAAATTTGTCCCAAAATAAGTCTAATACAATAATAAAATTAAAAGTTGCATATTTATTTTATTTTAAGATATAAACTCACACACACTTATTTTAAGCAGTAAATATTTTTTCTTTTTATTTTCTAATAAGTCTATTTGTACATAGTTACACATTTTATCATGCCTTCCTTTTCAGAGATGAGAAAAAAAATCTCTTTGCATAATAAGTGTGTCTTCATCCTGTTTTATTAAATTCGAATGTATAAATAATTATTAAAGTTGGTTGTTATAATAATGTATTATAAACTTAAAACATAAATGACGTTACAAATATTTACTCTCGAATACTCAAACACAAAAACTATGAGAGACCAAATTTATATTCTTTTCTTAATTCATCAATTCAAAAAGTTAAAAATATTACATTTCATTTCCATAATCCAAAAACACATTTTGTTCATACAAAATACATTTTGAGTTGTTATACCTGAGTATTCGAGTAAATGTCAAGAAAAAAACAACACGAAACACAAACTCAGGTATGCTAAAATAATTCGATTGTATTTTTATCTTAAGGTCTACTTTTGAATGAACGTTACACACAATAAAGAAATATGTATGAAAACAACAAACTTGTAGTATTAGACTACACTTACTTCACTAATTAAATAGGTACAACTTAATAAAGCAGGTTACCTGTACGGAAAAGTTGATACCTTTGATTGTTTTTTTTTTTTCAGTAAAGTGACTTACTTTTATTCGCTGACTCTTGGCAGCTGCGCGAAGTCCGCGATGCGCACTCAGCTCATGCCTTGAAACTATGTAGTAGCCTTTTTCATACACGGTTTCCGAAAGTTGACCGAATTATCAACAACCAATCAAATGACTTGACAAGAGATTAGTTAATTTTAGCGTTGACAAGCCTTTCAGAAACCGGTAGTCAGTTGATTCACGTGAGTTCAGTCATTTGTTTTAATGAATTCTACTCGTCTCACAATAATTACAATGAACTTTGTTTAGAAGTAGTTTCTCTTTCAAATGAAAGCGAAAATTGCGCCAATCGGCACCGACTCGACCGACTGGTAACCTATATCTTCATTTAAACTTCCTTAGACAATGATACTTATCAAAGTACGTACACTAAAGTATTTCAAGATTTTTTACAAATAATTTGTTTCATTCAAACAAAAATTAAATTAAACATTAGCTAATAAACAATAGACTTATCATTTCTTCGGTAGTTGCCTAAAATTAGGTCCCAGTGGCGCCCTCTCATTTAAATACGAAAAAAATACAATTTATACTTATATTCATATTTTATCAACGAACTTCTATTTCTTTTCATTTTTAAGCATTCTTTCCAGCTTCAATCTTTTCTTTCTCTATCTTTGAAGGGATGAAGGCCAAAGGATCTGCTTTCTTAATGTCCGCTTCTTTTGCATCTTTCTTCTCTTCTGCCTCCAATGCCATCTTTCTTAAATTTTTCAGTCCTATCTTATTCTGGATGTAGAACAGCCTGCAAAATACAATAATTGTAAATAACAAGAAGGAGTGCAAGTAATTCTCTTGTCGCTTGAAAGCATAGAGAGAGCAGAAGGTAAACTATAATAAGACGTTTAGGGCGTTACCGTAGTTATCATAAAAAAAAATCTGTCTAAATTTATAGAAATTACTGAACCAATTATAGTAACAATGTATCAAGTAATTTTACATGAATTTAACATTAATTAAATTTAAAATTACGATCCCTGTGTCTTTCTGAACTCTTTTTCGAAAGTATACTTAATTACGTTTCTTGGTCTTGATATGTTGCGTACAAATACCTAGTTTCATTAAAATCTATTAAATATTTTCATTATTTTAGACTTGATAGTAAGTATGGAAATGCTATCCAGTCTATGTCTTTTTCTAAAAAATTACCGATGTAATCATATATTTAAAATTTTTTTGCACTGAATTTTAGGATCTCAGTTTCATTAAAGCCTTATAATAAAGAAAAAAGACCAAATTTGCAGATGTTTTTAGAATAATCCTTACAGAAGAATGATGGACGGAGGTACGGCTATAGCTGCACTGGCTAAGAAGACAGCTCCAGGCAACGCATGCAGCGTCTTCATATACATCCACGAGTAAAGAGGATGGAACACCAGCGCTGCTGTAGTCTCCGTCAAGGAGAACAAGGAGTTCACTTTGGCTGGAAGAAAAATAGACAAAAAATATCAGTAAATGAGTTACTAGTTTTTAAAATAACTTTTTTAACTTAATGGCGAAACAATAAAGTTGGAAATGTAATGCACGGATCGCAGTTTCGTTATGATAAAGTTTTGAGTATTCGCATTTCCTAACTTTACAACTTCTTTTCGTTTCTATATATTGTTCTGACTTTCTTAAATGATCTAACAGGTCTCAGTAAAACAGAGGTAGATGATTTTGATACTTTTAAAAACTCAGATCGAAATAATAATTAACCTAGATCATATTGTAGTTGTGATCAGCCGGGGATGTGGGGCAAGCGCAATAAGGCACTGCGGCCTCGGCCTAGAGCAAGAGAAGGAACGGGGGGCGTTTTTAGTCAGTAAAAGAGTCTCGACGCTCCCTCTCTCGGGCCCCACCCTGGGCGGGAGAAGTAATTTAATGATATAGCCCTCACAAAAAAGTTGTAATTCAAAATAATTAACGAATTAAAACAACCAAAACTTACCATTCTCCTGTTTTTCCACTAACTTGGATATGATGGAACGCAGCGACGTGAATGTTGTGGCATTTAGTAGCTCAGCGACAGGCACTGCAATTGTGAATACAATCAAATTAATGGCCGCCATTGAACCGACGACCGTTATTCAAATGCATATTATTATCATAATAAAACTGGAATATTATGAGATGGTGCGACGCTTTGTGCCGCATGCTAATTTGATATTCATTTTATTTAGTTATGGCGATCGTGTTGTAATGCAGAGGCTGAGGATGATGATAATGATTCCTATACAAAAAGATATGATGCTTATAACGACTTACTATCGTGAAAAGTTCTACTAATAAAAAAAACTAAATAGAAGTATACATACAATTGACTATAGCAATTGCTCGTTAAACTTTAATGTTTAATTTCTACAAATCCTGATTTATAAATTAGTTTAGTGTGATCAAAATTTGATGAAATTTACTCCTTTAATGTATGTGATAGGTCGCCAAACGAGCAGACGGATAATCTGATGGTAAGCAATCAACGCCGTCCATGGACACTCGCAGGAACAGAGGAATTACGAGTGCGTTGCCAACCTTTTGGGGATTCGGAGATTTAGGGATGGGGTGAGTGGAAGCATTGGGCCTCCGGTAACACAGTCACAAGGCAAAACACAACGCTATGTTGGTTTCACGCTGGTTTTCTGTAAAGCCGTGGTACCACTCGTGCCCGAGCCGACCTATTCGTGCCAATCTTTGGCTCTCCCAGACTTATAACACTCGCCCACTCAAAATACGAGTACCAAAACAATTTGCCAAAAAATATTACCGAGATACATTTCAATGTCGGTCGTGACGAAAGCAGTCCATATGGAGCCGGCGATCTTGCTGATAACAGAAATGAAACACAGTAAGCAATCATCAACCTGCAGACGTTTGCTCAGTACTGTTATGGAGAACATTGCACCTGAAAGGATAAACGACCAAATTAAAGAAAAGTTTTCAAAAAAACAAATAACTCTCAAAAAGTTTAGAAGTCCTAAATAATTTAACTGTTAATCTACCTATTATCTTCGACAATAATAACTCTGTAAATATATATTATAAATTTATATTATAAATGTGAAAGATTGTATGAATGTATGTTTGTTACTCTATCACCCGAAAACGGATGGACCGGTTTCGTTGAAATTCGTTATGCAGATTGGTGATACCGCCGCGGGTGGAAAAAATACTTGTATAAGTATAAAGAAAGAAAGAAGAAAGAAAAAACATTTATTTGAGACTCGCACAGAAAATAAATACAATTACATTTTATATATACAAAAAGAAAAAACAAACAAAAATAAACAAAACAACAACAAAAAAATATTAAAAATAGAATAAAAGACCTGTGCGAGGTCAAAAAGGCCACTTCTCAGCATATGCTGCGATAATTCACCAGTAGGTAAAAATACCGCAGCGCTGGTATTCTGATAGGGCCTGGTGACGGTGGTTAGTGGTAGTTGGTGGTGGCTAGTATCAACATTCCACAGCTATAAACAGTAGCAGAATATGTTTTTTAAGTCTCCTAAAACGAGAATACGATTGAAGATCGACACCAGTCCAAAGTACGCCCAATCGATACTACGTTTTAATTAAATTATTTCTAGTCTGGTTATCCCTAAAACCTGTCATTACCTCTTAATGCGAAAAAATCGAGCCCTTTCAAATTATTTGACTTAGCGAGAATTTTATCAGATTAACGTTTTAAAATCCCTTTGAAAAATCAGGAGAGGCAGCACCTGGCCCACCATCAAAGCTACCATCACCCTCATATACATTTGTGAGATGGGCAGTTTTCATTATGAGGAAAATCCTGTCAAAAATATAAAGCAAAATTTTCCTTCTCTTCAATATTTTTTTTTTCGAGAAAGGGGCGATCACCATAAACGTGAATTTTCTTGGTACCTTTTAAAATTATTAATACAGCCGATCTGATGCCAGATGCAATCAGTCAAAAGGCGGACTTTGATATGGTTTTTCACAAAAGGAAAAATGTAAATTCATTTTTGCAATGAATCATCAACGTCTTGAGAAATATTCTTTAAAATGGTAGTGGTAACATAATATAAAACAACGTCGATTTCTTAGCTCTATCCCTATGTACATTTAAATCTTTAATACGCATTTTGATGCAGTTTGTTTTTAAAGAGAGAGTAATTTAGGTTTTTATGTGTAATAACGTCCATTAAGAAGCGGATAAATTTTGTATCAAAATTGCACCCGTGCGAAGCCGTAGTGGGTCGCTAGTATTTACTTATAAAAATCCTTTTTCTACTTACCGAAAGAATGTAGAACAATGGAGTAACTGACGTAGACACCATATTTGACCATGTCCCAATTAAGACGGTTTCTGACGAACAGGTAGAACACTCCATGTTCCGCTGTAAAATAACATTTATTGTTGTATCTTATAAAATATATTTTTAAACGAGCAATAAAATTGTTTTACACAATCTGAAAGGAGATCTCGGAAATGGCTATAACGGTTTCCATAATGTTTCGTATACAGAATTTTTGGTGGCGATAAATCGATCTAGCTAGAATTAGTTTTCAGAATATTTTATAAATATAATCTAGTAAAGCTTGGTCATCCAAGTACTTTACATATTGGTTTGGTTTTGAAATTGCTTCAGCAACAACCTGCCCCACACGCTTCTCTCACTCGGAGAAAAAGCGAGCATAAATCACAAAAACCATTAAAAATATATATTACATCACAAGTTATTGCAAGTACCATAAAGACAAGGGTTTTCTATCACTACAGAATTAACTTCTCTTAAACCTTCGAACAAATTAACAGTCGACATAATATGTTATACAACTTACAAGAAGTCGGTCCAAAGAGTAGGAATACCATCAGCAGAGTCAGCAGGATCTTGAGCTTCTTATTCTTGGTGCGAGGCCTGAAGGCGACGGCTATCGTCTCCGCCACATGGGAGAGGTCGAAGAACGATACATTATTGTCTATGGTCCTCTCGATCTGTAAAGTAATGAGAAGCGTCATATAAGAAAACTTAATACTAATACTTCTTTTTTATTCCAACATTCTATAAAACTTAAAACTTTTTCGCCATAAGATGCTAATTCGTTCGTATCAAAAAACCTCAGTACTTAAGTACTCAGATTTTTGGTACGAAGTCTAAAATCCATCCTAGTATTATTGCATGGTTGCTAAGTTGACTAGGCCACCGGCTGCCATGAATGATTCGATTCCCGTTCTTAGTGTAACAACTATCTGTGCGATCTATACATTTTTGTTCCGGGTATAGTGGAAAATCCAAATGTGAGGAAATATTTCTTTAATATACTCTCCATTGCTTTGCCTGGCCCGAGACCCGTTGCTTGTTAAACAATCACAATAGCAACCACGATCAACGGATCCATTGAAAACATACCATCAATCATTTGACAGATCGAGTATCTCAATCCACTAACTGACGCCTGTACCACGCAGTACACAGCACCAAAATTTAAATTCGTCAACTAAACGTAAATTGTAAACAATAGTTTATATCCTGTGGTGTATTACGCTTGCGTGGGCCTAGAGTCGACCTTAGTACTCCTTCCTTATTGTTATCACGTAAAGTACTAAATTGCTTATTCATCAAAGAGAATAGTGTCCATCATTGTAAACTATTTAAATATTTAAAAGAGATAGTGGATCTCTCAGTCAGACGGGATTGTGGGTTAAGCGCAATAATGCGGCCCCAGTCAAGAGCAGGACACGGAACGCAACCAGGGTGAGAGGAGGCAATTAATATTATAAATGCGAAAGTAACTCTGTCTGTCTGTCTTTTCTTCACGCCAAAACTACTTCACCAATTTCTGTGAAATTTGGTACAGACATAGTTTGGATCTAGAGAAAGAACATAGGATAGATGGGACATTTTTATACCAAAAATCTGCAGAAAGTCACTATTATACTACTCGAATGGAGTCGCGGGCAAAAGCTAGTACTAAATACGCTTTGAGTGGGATGTTCTCGACAGGATAAATACTAAGTAAGAAGTAGCCAAAGGTTTCATCATCCACCTTCCAAAGTCTCCATTAAATCAGCTCTGTGTAACCATATCATAATATTGAATGATCATCTAATTTACTAATTTAAATAATTTAACAAGTTTCGTGATGTTAATTAGGACAGTTAGAAGTATGTGAAATTCAAATTCTTACATCTTGGTACAGGTCGACCTAATCATCGTGTGACGTACCTACAAAGTTCACCTAGAACAGAAAGATCAAAAATATTTATATATAGTATCTATCGTGACAGCAAATTTATTGAAAACAACGACTTACTCTACTCATGAACAGCGTCATTGTCACGCCTTCTCGGTTAATTCGATAAAGTAAATAGTACCTAATTTTCAGTAAGTTTAAACATGAAATAAGACGTTTATTTTAAATAATTAGTTATAATCACCTCAGTGTATATTTCTACTCAATACTCAATATCTGGATATCGGGCATTTACCTACATTCAATTTATTATCGTCATTGAACATATTGATACGTGAAAGATAATTATTTCAATGAAATTTTAAATCAACATTTCAATTTTCGAACAAAGAATACGGAAAGAATAAGGTAGTCGACAATGATCAAATTCAATTATTTTATAGATGTGTCAGATTTTTTGGGACTTATTTATTTTCAGGACTTTTATACACTATGGTCGGAGATCACAGCTTATGAGGTCATCATCAAATATTAGGTACATAGGTAAGAAAAAAATAAGGGTCCATCTGCAAAGGAATTGTAGCGACATCTATCGGACAACATGCAGCAACAGGACCAATCACGTTCAAGATCCTATACCGCGTCAACAACAAACGTCGGGCATTAACCCGCCAGGCACGATCACTCGCATGGTTGGAGGATCCACCTTTTCCCATATTAGGGAAATATACCCTCTGTTCCCTAAAGAATAAAAAATGTTTGATTTTGATAGCATATTACTCATAATATACTTTTTATAAAATGAAATTTTTTTTTGTTGTTTCCATATATCAGCAAGTGGCCATTAGAAAGACCAGGTACGCCACCTTACTTCAGACATCACATTACAGAAAATTTGGTGTAATAACTTTTATGGTAATCGCCCAATCTCATAAGGAAGCCAGAAAGATTAGAGTATTGATAACGTTTTCAAGGAGCTATTCCAATTTAGTATTTCAAAATAAATACACTACTTGACATTTAAAACTCAAATTTTATCGATATCATTGATAATGTATTAGTAAGGTATGATAATATTTACTTATGGCTTCTATCTGGGCGTTTGTCCTCTTGGTGAAAAAATCTACATCGCTCTCTGCCGCCCAGGGTTAGGCGAGAGTGAGTGTCAGACTCTTACTGACTAAAACTCCCCGTTCCTTCTCTTGCTCTGAGCCGAGGCCGCGGTGACTCATTACGCTTACTCTGCAACCCCGGCTGAACATCAGACCTGTAGGGCCCCGTCTGTGGTGGTCCATTGGCTTTTTAAGGCGCGCGCGGAACGCTACGCGCCGTACGCTCGGGTCTGGTTCTGGTCGGGCGGCGAGCTACCCTTACTCGCCGTCCGCAGACCCGCGCTTACGGTGGCCGGAGATCATCTCTCGACCATACAACGCTGCGTTGTCTTTTGTTTGATGGCAAACAATCGATGCAACCCATGGACACCCTCTCACTAAAGTTGCGAGTATGTTGCCGGCCTTTTCGGAGTTAGGGCTTCTAGGATTGGGGCATTTAAGATTTTTTTTTAATCATCAAATGACTTCTCCCTCTTCTATGAGGCGAGAGGCAGTGTCAGACTCTTACTGAGTAGTACCTTCTCCTACTCCAGGCCGAGGCCGCGATGCATCATTGCGCTTAATCCACAAACCCGGAGGTTGCAGTCATGACGTCTGGCAACTTTACACATCGCGAAACACATCGCAAACTGTTTTTCACGATAGTTTTCTGTGACTCCATGGAATAATCCCGTCGAAACAACCGCTTCGTGACTCTCCCACACTTACAATGCATCTTCATACAAAAACAAAGACAATTGAACGATCATCGTCTGCTCAAACCTTTTGCAGTTTCTTATACAATAATTAATAATACCCAGTATCAATATTTGAACGAGAAAACTATATTAAACATTGTTAAATACACATTACAATGGATGCGAAGCAAATAATATCATAAAATTATATGGAACGCTTTATATTTATAGCCGACATGTATAAATTACTATCAGAATAAATCCCTGTATTATTGTTTGACTTTTAGTATCACTTATTGTTATTACTCAATGCACCACGGTTATTTAAATGTCAAGCGACGAACGGTAGAGGAATAGTTTATAGAAATACTAAGACAGAATGTTAAAAGTTTTTTAAACAAAGACTGGCTACACCAAATATCTTTTTGTTAGGTATCCCTCAGAACTGTCACTTAATACGAGAAAGCTACCCGGACGGGTTTAAGCAAGGATGTACCGTGACCTTTACTCATACTAAGAGATGTAAAGGGATGGTATTTAGTCAGTAGGAATATGACTTTCTCTTTCCCCATCCAGTGTATAAAAAGTCACTATGTAATTTAATTCCAACATTTTTTTTTTTTTAATAAATCATAAGTGACGAATTTGCCGATGTGCCAACTCCAACCAAATTGTAAAAAGACCAATGCGAAAAACAGGGACTCAAGATGTATTGAAAGTCGGATTTTTAATAAATTTAATTAATCAATAATTGTATTATCGACAAAGTCGCGATGCCGTTATATTAAATTTAAAGAGCATACACATTACCACCTTCAATTGACATATAATTTTATTTAGACTCTTGTTGACTAAAAACTGCCTTGTTCATTCTGCGCTAAGTTACATTACATTGCTGCGGTACATTCATGCGCTTGCACCGACAACCCCGACTGTAATTTGAAAACCGACATCATAAGTATGTATCAAAACATTTTAATTAGAATAAGTGTAAGGTATTGTTGCTCAAAGTTTTTAGGTTAAATTACGCAAATACACTAAGAAGGATAATACGAAATGATAATCTATATTAAACAGTAATTATTTGGAAAGACACACGAGTTTAAAAATGTGTTCCTAATTCTTAATTATCTTATCTTGGATAAACATTCACCGGCTTAAAGTTGGTGTAGGACGAAATTTTATAGCGACGTTTCGTGTACTTACCTACCTACTGTCATATGACGTGATTCATAATATATACCTTTTAAATTAATATAAAAAAGGTGGTTTGTTCATTTGTTTTTTTTATATTCATATGCAGGCCAGTGCTGAAATCAGCACCGTAGTCTCGACCCTGCGTACAAGGGTCACAGTATTAAGCTGAGCAATCCAGTTTTGCGCTGTAACGTACTTTTAAGTTTGATTTTTTTTTCTATTATTTTAATGTTTTTTGTCTTGTATATGTATTCAAAACGGAGTAAACAGTATTTTCTTTGGCTTTCTTCCAAGTAATAGAGAAAATATATAATCATAAAACTCTCTCCCTAGAATCAGAAACGTTTTTAATTTTTATTGAGCACGTTTTACGTAGTTCGAACAGTGACGTGGTTAATGAACAATTTCTTTAAAAAAAACGCTAAGACCAAGACTGCGAACTACTACCACACCCAACTTAAACATTTCAAGACACAAAAATATCCAATGACCTTAACAACACTATGCTAAAAACATCTGTATCAAACCTAGAATTGGTCACTAAAACATACATAATAATTAAACTTAAAACTTCGCATTTCTTTTGTTTTCCCGGCGCTAAAATAACCATAATCCTATAATTATGTATTGCCCAATGAGTTTGCACAATTTTATTTACAAAGGTATTATTATATACGCGTAGAATCGTAAATATGTCGGTTTATCAAATAAATTACTGATATAGGATAAAGAAATTAGTACAACGTTCGATTATAGCTTGTTGTGCAAAAGTCAATGAAGGAGATACGTTCAGGTGTCTTTATACAAGTGTTTAA